CAAATTATTATTTCGTTTACGACAATGAACACTTTTTATTATTGTGTTTGTTAACAAAAATATAAACAAACTGAAGAAGGGGGAAGAACAGTGATGTCAAACGAATGTGCATCCTCATTAATCCTGATTTTTTGTGAAATCTACGTCTTTTAGTCTCAAAACTATGTGCTATGGTCTTTCTTTTATGCATTGCGTTATGTCGTTTTGTGAAAAATATGTATCATAGTAAGTTTGATTTAAAAATACAATAATGGCAACTTTTAAAGTGGGTAAATTCTGATTTTGGTTATTTCGACCCACAGTAAAAGTCACTGTTATTGTATTTCTTAATTAATTAATAGCTTCATCAAACAGTAAGTTTGATCTATTTAACAAAAGATATCGTAATCGTAATTCGAAAACCCATTATCTATATATAACCCTATATAAGATTGAAGACTCAAAAGTTATTTTACTACCAGGTGGCACCACAAGATAATAGTTTATTAAAAACCTTTAATTTAAGTTTGATTGGATACATATATAAACTTTTAACGTCTTAAAGGAAACAACACGGTAAGTTTGGTTTGTATGACAAAATTTATTTTACTACCAGGTGGCACTACAAGGTAATAGTTTATTAAAAACCTTTAATTTAAGTTTGATTAGCTACGTATATAAACTTTTAACGTCTTAAAGAAAACAACACGGTAAGTTTGATTTGTATGACACAATTTATTTTACTACGAGGTGGCACCACAAGGTAATAGTTTAATTTTTTTCATACATCTACTTTCGTTATGTGCAGAGTTATTGGTTTTTGCTTTAAAAATTATATAATAATGATTCAAACAGAACACGGAAAGACAAATCTGGTTATGATTACAATCGTTAATACAATCGTTAATAATAATCGTTAATCATAGCTAAATAGTATTTGAGTTTATATATATATATATCGATTCATGAAAAGTTAAAATAAATTGAATGTATTGACGATAAGACAACGTGACAAGTTGAGAATGACTATAAAAGTGCTTTCCATAACTAGCGAGCTACTCTATCTACAGAAAACAAGAGGGAATCGTCAATAGCCGCGGCATTTGAAATTCTTTTAGGCAGGATTAAAGTAAATTAATCTCTGAGATCTTTGTTTCCTTTTTTATTAGCTGTATTTTTGTGCGACAGAAATACAAAGCGTGGGGCACGCGTATACCCCATTCGATTTTCTTACTCATCGGGATCTCTACCAGCCTACCCTCAAGTTGAAATTCTTTTAGGCAGGATTAGAATAAATTAATCTATGAGACCTTGGGCGTGATCAAGCA